ATTCTTTCTTAAAAATGACAAGAATGTAGAATGGATGTTGTTGCAAGTCAAACCTCTGTTTGCATGTTCCTTAACTTCTGTTGAGTAGTATATCAGACTATTAACAGTGGTCAGTGTGGAAGTATGGTAAGAACGGTGGCTTATGTATACATAATTGCAGTGCTCGTGATATTCACTGATAGCATGCATCGGAATTTGATCCAGATTGCTTCATAGCAAAATTGTTTTTGTTGAATATTCCATTAGCATGATAATGAAAAACTTATAATTCTTTAGACTCCAGATTCATAGATAAATGATACATTATGTTGACGAGATTGTCCATGTGTTACAAGCTATTGTTAAATGTAAGTTCACCAACTGACAGAGTAACTTCACTGGTTCACAGACACTGGTGTCATTGTACCTGTCACTGGTTCACAGGACACTGGTGTCATTGTCCAGTTGCCTTCAATGTCCTGTCAATTAAATGTGTAAGTTCATAGTCTGAGGAGCCTGCCTTCAATGTCCTGTCAATTGTGAAATGTGTAAGTTCATAGTGTGAGGAGCCTGCCTTCAATGTCCTGTCAATTATTAAATGTGTAAGTTCATAGTCTGAGGAGCCTGCCTTCAATGTCCTGTCAATTATTAAATGTGTAAGTTCATAGTCTGAGGAGCCTGCCTTCAATGTCCTGTCAATTATTAAATGTGTAAGTTCATAGTCTGAGGAGCCTGCCTTCAATGTCCTGTCAATTCCTGTGTGTAAGTTCATAGTCTGAGGAGCCTGCCTTCAATGTCCTGTCAATTAGTAAATGTGTAAGTTCATAGTCTGAGGAGCCTGCCTTCAATGTCCTGTCAATTAGTAAATGTGTAAGTTCATAGTCTGAGGAGCCTGCCTTCAATGTCCTGTCAATTAGTAAATGTGTAAGTTCATAGTCTGAGGAGCCTGCCTTCAATGTCCTGTCAATTAGTAAATGTGTAAGTTCATAGTCTGAGGAGCCTGCCTTCAATGTCCTGTCAGATCTTAAATGTAAGTTCACTGGCTGACAGACATTGGTCTCATTGTTGTGCAACTGTTTGCTCTGTGAAATGTAAGTTCATAGTTTGCCAGAGCCTGGCTTAACTGTCCTGTCAATTGTTAACTGTAAGTTCATAATCTGACCGATCCTGAATTTCTTTGTCCTGAGAATTGTGAAATGTAAGTTCATAGTCCGACAGAGCCTTCCATCATTGTCCGATCAATTGTGATTTGATGATCAAACACTATGAGATCAATAGGTATAGTGACAACACCAGCTGTCAGTGGAGGTGATTGGTACACAACAGAAATTAACGGTATGACATACTGTTTATTGTGGGGTGACAACACATGTTGTCAATCGAGCTGCTAGGTATAGCGCCAGTATTAACACTATGGGATACCATTGGCAGTATAGGGAACAGCTGTCCCTTGTTGAACCTTGAGGAGACATATAATGGAGTCAGTAATTGGCTGAGCTCATAGTCCACATGACTCATGGATGCACATTAATCATGCACTAGTGTCAGTTTCTAAACAAGAAGTTATGTAGGTTTAGAAATTTATTGTTACCAGTTTCAGTACTGTATGTTGCCAAATTACCCAGGCCTTTCCACAGTACTTTCAATGTCCATGAAGTAGCTTTAAGGAGTGATAAATATTTTATGCATTTGTCAGTTTATTGACAGTTCACAACAGGGACTGTTATATAAGCTATGACTGTACAATATATTGAAGTTTCTAATGCTATTGTAATTAAATAAACTGTTGCAAGCTTGTGCACTGACTTGAAATATGAGAATCCCCTTTGATATAAAAGTTCGATTAGATTAGGGCTGTTATGATTCACTTGTCTGTTTGGTGAATCAAACCGTATCCGTTATGAAGTAAGTTTGTTGTTAGCATTATTATTATCATAGAATCAACAATTCATGAATATTTCCGTTACTCAGTATTCATGATGTGTATCACATTCACTCTACAGTGGATTTGTTGCAGCCAAATCGGGGATGTTTACTGCTGTTATCATGGTTCTTGAAAAGTACATTTCAGTTTTGATTCCTCATCGGTCAGTCAGAATCAGCGACAATAGGGTAACACACACACTTGGTAATGATATGGAATTATGGGCCCCCTGTTTGTAAAGGCTTTAAGGCCGTACCCAGTGACCTCAACAGTAGACTACCAGTATCATTAGGGCATAACTGTACTGTGCTTCACAAATTGGGGACGTATACCGGTGGTTATATAGCCGCAAACTTAGTTTTATCGGTGACGCGTAAGCGTAAATATATTCATTATTCAAACAAGGTCAAAGTTTTTCTAGGTCAAAGGTTAATCATATCACTCCATTACTAGAAAAAGTAGTTCTCTTTCAAACTTCAACACGTTTATTATGTGCACACTGACTAACTCTGACAATGATGAATAAATTATAGTGTTATAGCTAAAATGGACAGAATTATCATGAAGCCGCCCTCTAGTTATTAGAAATGAGCGGGCCGCTGCAAATGATAATGGCCAGGTGATTCCTCAACTACAGCAAATATCTGTTCTGTTGTCAAATGACGTCATAAATCTTGTTTCATGATCTAACAGTGTTGGTTCAACAGCCCATTGCGGGTAAGTTGTTTGAACTTACAATTAAATTTATGATACTGTTTTGTCCTTTTTAACACAAATTCCTTCCATTTAGCCGGATAGGGGAGTTAAACTGATCTAGGGCTTCTGCCAATGACAATGCGCTGAAAAACAGCGTTACCCCAATAGTGTAGGGATACATTCAAAGGTTTTGGTGAATAGGTTTTCAAATTGTGACCGTATATGCTGATTATACGGTCGAAAATTTATAGCATTGACCAATCAGAACTCGTGTTACATACTAAGTTGAATTAGAATTAACAATCACAGTCACGAGTGAAACTGAGTCATCAAGACACCCAGTTGTGTTTCTCCTAGCAGTGGTCATGGTGCATGACACATGCGCAGATGCCCTCTTATGAGGACTTGTGTTGTCTCGTAAGCAATTCTCTCTACGTGTGTTTTAGTTTAATAAGTACCCATGTATGTAACTAGAACAGTCATACGTCCGGACAATGGGGCTTCCCGCGGATTTGCTACATTCGATTGTGAAAGAATACGTTTACATGATCCTCAAACCTACTACAAATATGACTTTACCAAGTGAAATTATGACGTTTATGATATATGTGTCCATTCTCTGTCAAATAACTTTCGTTTCAAAGTGCCAATAACAGCCGGGCCCATCCCTTGTACATGGTGTCTGAAAGGCTGAAGCTCCTTACAGTGATCCCTCGTCTTCATGCAGTCTCTACTGCTGCTGCCACCAATCAAAACACCTCCCTGTGAATAATTATGTCATGCCATTGATATTATGAGCAACATCTTTTGATCAGGAACTTTTTGCAGCATGGAGTCTCGTGTCTTTGCACATGATAGCCCATGGAGCTTCTGCAGAATTACATAACTCATGTTTGATAATGAAAAAGTTCTTAAAGCATCGAAACTGTAATGACTACTTTGGCATTACTCACTATTCTTAAGTAATATTTACCATGACATGCAGTATCATGATATCTGGTTTTATCATCCAAAACTGTGTTCCACAGGAGATATCGCTTGTGTGAGATCAAACCATATCTCCTAGGAGATATCGTTTTGACAGTAGATTTTGTACAATGCCCTGACAATGCTATGACGTCATGTACTTGATGACGTCACAATGCCATGGCATCGCTGCACTGCAAGTCTAATAGCAGTACCATGTTCAGAGATGTACATTTTTTCATCAAAACTTAATGAAGAATGATTTTGGATGATAAATAGAATCTCATCCTCGTGTCTTCTGATATCAAATATATCAACAGTCGTTGATAAAGTAAAAATATCCTCAGCAAGCCTCGGATATTTGTAACTTTATCAACTCGTGTTGATATAATTGATATCAGAAGACACTTGGGTGAGATTCTCTGTATAGTCCTTTTTTGTGTCAGCTTTGTGTCTGGCCCTTGTCATCAGTTATGTGTTATCATATTATCTTTAATTAGCCCAGATTACTAGACCAAAGACAATATATCAAGCTGAGACTTTAGTCTAGTGGCGTAAGTGGTAGACTGCATCATGGCCACCAGTGGATTGTAGTATGATTTATCTGATCTGTCTGATGTGTGGCAGTAGTACACTGACATCAGGACAAGACACACAGACCAGATGCAATACTTTATGTGTTATTGTTTGTGCTGAATAGCAGTAATTGGGAAATGTTAAAGCTTCATTTGTTCTGATCACAACTTGTTACTGTTAGCGAACTGCTACATGTTGAAATTCTTGAAAGGCATGTTGCACAATGTCTTTTGTCAGTAAGAGTTGGTTGTTAAAGCTAGCAATATAATTGCCATCATGGGTGGCTAATACATCAACACGTCAGTGTGGCTCACTTACATATTTCACTCAGATATTTTAGACAAGCAGTAATTGCAAACTTGTCCTCTCTGCCTATATCCATTCCATTGTATCTTATAGTTAGAAACAAAATTGTGTTTGCCTTTTGGTTTAGGCCCCTCACAAACATAGTTTGGAACTTGTAGATGTTATCGTTTGATGAGGAAGTGATATATGGATAGATAGAAAGATGATACATTTGTAGAGTGCCTAATATCTGCCTAAAAGATGCTCAGTGGCACTGTGGAAATATTATGCTGAAAGTGCAGACATTATGACCTTGGTTAACCAAAGCTGCCTGTGGGGTGCTAGAAGGTTAACAGTCATATGACCATCTTATCCTACTGGGTACCCATTCACTGCTGAGTAAACAGAGGCAAATTTGAACAAACTCACTTGCCTAAGGTGAGACCACATGTGTCAAATGTGCTTCATTGTGGGGCAGGACTGAAGTACTGGAAACTCTCAGGAGTCAGTCTGTCAATATGTATACTTTGTAAGTGTGGCCCGGATGTTGATGTTATTTTGTTCCTGACTGCAGGTCTGATTGGGAAGATCACATTACACATCCCACTGAGTCGACTTCGAAGTGAGCCATGGGTCATCTCCATAGAGAAACTCTACCTGGTGGCAGGCCCCCTGACTGACATGAAGGTAAGTCACAGCCCTTCTCATGCCTCCAGCTGATCCAATCTAACGTGTCAAGTGTCCTAATCAGCAAACAGGTGTCTCATGGGACCCTCTCATAGGTGTGCCGGAAACCAGGAACCATCATTATTCTCACTGCTGGATGTGATTGTGAACATTGGGTGCAGTTGATGCACACGCACGCCTTTTACAGATACCTTATCTGTTCAGTGTGCCCTTGACCAATGCACTTTGTGACGATGTCTATATTATGGGTTCAGACACTTTCCAAATCTTGTGACCTATGAATATCCGGGGTAGAATAGGTCTTCAGCAACCCATGCTTGCCACAAAAGGCGACTATGCTTGTCGTAAAAGGTGACTAACGGGATCGGGTGGTCAGACTCGCTGACTTGGTTGACACATGTCATCGGTTCTCAATTGAGCAGATCGATGCTCATGCTGTTTATCACTGGATTGTCTGGTCCAGACTTGATTATTTACAAACCGCCGCCATAAAGCTGGAATATTGCTGAGTGGGGCGTAAAACTTAACTCACTCACTCCAAATCTTGTACCAGCCACTTGGTGATCTAAATCCCAGACTCACCCTTGTTAAGCATCTGGGTTTGTCAACACGATGTAGTGCTCATGGGTCTCAAAGTTGTAGCAGACCTCCATCACTTCATCTTTCCCCACATTTCAAGCTAACGCACAGTGATTTCACCGAATACTGATTTTTTTAGATTTCAAGAAAATCTTCATACCTAGAAGATTCACTACCCTATGATATAGCTGGAATCACTCAATCGCTCAATAAAATATGAGGGATTGTGTTATGCTTGCCCTGATCACAGTCACATGAAAACTTTTGTGTAATGCATGAGCTGTATGTAACATGGAACAAGTCGACCATGGTAGACTCCTGGGGTGGTATTCATAAAAGAACTTAAGTCTGAAATATGACTTAAGTTTTTGAAAAAACTAAGTTTTTCACTTTTTCTGACTTAAGTTTCCAGATTTTACTCAAGTCATATTCATAAAGCAACTTAGGCTTAAGTTTTAGCGATTTCCGACTTAAATCTTAAGACTGGGCAGGGGTAGGCTTAACTGGAAGGTGTTTGTCTTAAGTCAGTAAACAATATGGCTGCCGTAGCGCTGTGGCGTCGTTCATTTCACCAAAGAAGACAAAGTCTCGTTGAATACAGCGATGAAGAATTAATTCGGCGATACCGTCCTAGATTGGAATGGCATTAGATTAGATTAAGCCAGTCTAATAGCGCCAGGCGTTGAGCCCACAACCACCTGTAACCCGCGACTGGATGCCTCACAAAGGCGCTCATCACATTGAGGTACTTTGCCACGGAAAATTTCAATTGTGCAATCGCGGACGATCAAGGTGTCAGCCAGCCAACCTTTTCAGAGCTGTGAATGACTGCATCACGAAGTTTGTCATCTGACAGGATTGTCAAACAGTTCATTAAGCTTGCCCTACAACTTTGTGACATCAAGCGTCACCAGACCAACTTTATCAGGTTGCAAGCTTTCCCGAGTTGTGGGGGTGATCGACGGAACGCGCGTTCAGATTCAAGCCCCAACAGTAAATGAAAATGAATTTGTAAACCCGGCATCACTACCACAGCATCAATACACAGATGGCTTTTCGATAGCTAAGACAGGATAATTGAAGTTGTCGCTCGGTGGCCTGGATCGACACACGATTCACGCATATTGACCAACAGCGGTCTCTACCAGTTGTTCGACCGTTATGTTGTCCCCATCGGATGCCACCTTCTCGGCGACAGAGGTTACCCCTGTAAGAAGTGGCTACTAACCCCTTTCCTAAGACCATTGGCAGGACCACAAACAAACTACAACAGGTATGTAAACTTCCGTGTAAAGTTGCCGATTGTGATCAGCAACTAAGAGTGGTGTCCCTTGTATTTACCTCGAATAAACATTGAGCAATCGTACTCATTACACATTTTAGATAACAAACGTTATTACATTTAGCCTGGATAACCAAAGAAAAATACAGTTTTCATAAAATACGAATTCTTTAATCAGGTTGTAGACATTTTATGAGTATGCTGAATATGACTAGAAATTATTTTCTTAAAACATCATAAACCACCTAAATAATCTATGTAAGTGTTACTGTATTATTAGGTTTTTTTCAGAGTTATTTACCAAATAAGTGACAGTTTACAATGACAACACAAACAGTTTTTACTGTGCTGGAGGTTTATGATATTTTATTTCATAACCCAGATCGCATAAAAGAACAAGGAGCAGTGTTGAAAGGTCCATTGGCCAATTCAAGCGCAGATTTCCTGTTCTTCATGGGGAAATCAGGTTAAAACCTGAGAAGGCTTGCAAGGTAAGAAAAATATAATCAACAACAGTTATTTCTTTAGCACTGTTTACTTGCCACATAAATAATACAAATAAATTGACAAGGTAACAAAGCTAAATGGCAATATGATTAATAAATTACAATTTTGCAAGATGTATGAATCACTGAAAATATGAAACTATATACATATATATATTACTATATATCACGAATATGATATGGGTTGTCATGAATTTCTATTTACTGATGCTATTGAAAATATGTAAAAGGCAATACAGTAGTTCATCATCTCAAAATGTATACTGCATGGCCATGTCCATACTGACTTTTGTATCTAATTTTTTTATTTTCCATTTATCACTAATTATTCCATATTTCAGGTGATCATAGCATGTGCTGTCCTTCACAACATATGCAAGGATAGAAACATTCCATTACCACCCACAGATGGGCATGATGGAGTTGGAAGGCATGATGGGCAGAATGGAGGTCTACCAGGAATCACTACACCAGTGGCTGTACTGAGATATAGAGAGCACTTCGCCAATACAAACTTTCCATGTAAGATGATTTTAGGATCTTCTATCATAGTGTCAGAGTTAGAACTATAAATGGTAGATTATGTTATTACATTTAATACAGACAATCCTCTCCAAAACAAAATTAAGTTTTATCACTCATACTATTAATACATTCTACACGATAGCTTTATTTATTTGTAATATTGTATATTCCCTTATCTTCATGTGTACTATTGACAATTTAATTCCTGTTTGGCTAAAGGCCCCACAATAGTTTTTCTAACAGAATATGTTTTATCCTTATATTAGACAGAGAATGATACACCTAATACCCAAATATGTAAATATTTCTGATTTTCAGCAAGTACATTTATGGCAGTTTAAGCTAATTCAGTTTCATGATTTTATGTTTTTGGTATTCCTTTTTCAATGTGAGGCATTTTATTTCCAGCTGCAATTTCTTTTTTAACAGAGCTTCCACTGTGTGGCATCTTGGAGCATCTGGATGGACTGCTGGCTCCTCAGGACCCATTCTGGCTCCCTCTGGCTGTGGATGGGGGTCACGCATGGCTTCATAAATCTGTCTAAAAATAAAATGATAGAAATGTGCATGTAATTTTCATATAAATGTTCTTTCAATTTTAACAAGCCTGTTGTTTTGTGTTATTACAATTAGATATAAAAAAACAATAACAGTTGTTCATTACATATATTTATCATAACAGACAGTGCAGTTAAAGTACTTGCCTGTTCCTCTAGTCATTCTGCTGAACTCAGAATACTTCTGTTTTGATTGACTCTTTAGGTTCTTCCACTTTTTCTCTACGTCTTCTTTAGATCTGGGATGCAGACCAGCGGAGTTGATGGTTGCTGTAATAACCTGTTGAGTTGAATGAAAACTGTCAACCTTTATTATGATATACATATGTTACTATCTGCTTATGAATTACTATGTCATGACCATAACTTGTTAGAAATCAACTATATGTATTATGATTGTGGACAAAAAAGAGGCAGAGCATTTGGGAGAAAGGATATTTTTATAAAATAGGATTTCCTAATTTTTTTTATAAAAAGTAGGATTTCCTATTTTTTAAATTTTCCATATATTCTTGGAATCAATTGTTCTAAAGTTGATTACACTTATGATGATAATACCTTTAATAGATATCGCTCAAAGCTTTCATATTTAGTCATATATTTATAAACTAGGATTTCCTAAAAAATTATCAAGTAGGATTTCCTATTTTTTAAAATTTTCCATTGTTAGTAAACAAAACACAGGAATTCTTTTTCACAGAGATCGTCCTTGGGGTACATATTATGCATTTTCCGGCTGAAAAATGTCCTGTGACAGTTGTATCAATGTTTTTTGAATAAAAAGATTGTACAATAAATAAACTCTTTTATTTATTATACGGACCCTACCTCACGGAGTTACCTCCCTTAGAGCATGCGTACCAACTGGGTAGGCTCCTAGACCCGTATCATCATTCCTTCTGCTGTCACGGCCGTGAACAGACGTGTTTTGAGTAACCCATTCATGAGCCGTACGGCGCTGTTAAAAGAGACTATGTCTGAGACACCACCTGTATGTATGGTCTTTATTTGTCTAAAACAAGAACAGTAAAGCTTTACAGTTGGTTGTTTCATAATTGTGACTTTGGCGGTCTGTGAGGGGAGTATCCCCCGGGCCGACAGTCATACCAGTTGCGTGGCCTGTCTGGAGAAGACAGGCCATGAGGCTGACTCCTGTCCTATTTGTCTGGCCTTTTCCCCCCGGGCCCAGAAGAGGCGGGCTGCCGACACCTTGTTCTATCGCGAAATGCGTGAGGCGGGAGGGGACCTGACGCAGGTTCCCCCGTCTAAGTCCAAACGTGTGTCAAAAAAGGGAAAAAAATCCCGTGGCCCTTCCCCCTCTCCTGCCACTTCGAGTGGTTTTGACATGTCACTGATGGAGTCTATGTTTCAGCAGCAGATGGACTCGATGAAGTCCTTCGTTCGAGTGAGTCGATTTGGAGGTCTCCGCAGGAGTTCCTCACCCACTCCGGACGAGGCGGAGAGTCGAGGGTGGGATCGCCGGGCTCGGCTCGATCCCTCGCCTTGAGGCGTCTGTAGATCCGTTGCCTCTGGCCGGATCCGGGCGCCTCG